TTGGGGGGGCCCAGGTTGGGGCCCCCCACTGGGGGGGGGGAGCTGGAGTTGGGCTGCCCTGCCCCCAAGCTGGCTGGCGGCCCCTTGGGGTGGGGAGGCTGGGACTGGTGGCCTGTGGTGGGGCTCCTCCCCAGTTCAGTGCTATGGCCGAGGACTGGGGGAGGGCAGGTTTGGGGCAGGGGATCCCTTACCTGTACTCGGTGGCTGGCCATAGGGAGAGCCCCGGCCCCAGCTAGCCACTCCCTCCCTGGTGTGCCTGCCCCCTTGTGGTCACACTGAAGTTTAACTGTCCCTTATGCTCGCTGCCCCCTGTGGTCGTTGCGGAGCATAACGATCCCTCCTATCAGATCCCTCCCTTTCCATATTATGGAAAATAATCAAATCCCAGGTACACCCTGTTATCCTGGCACAACCAAACCCCGACCTTACTTTAAGTTAGGAGAAGAGGAAGCTGCCTCCCAAATTTGGTGGTCCTGGCTCTTACCATTTAGGAGGAGTTCTTGAACAAACGGATTCACAGCTGGACGGAGGGTCGGACTCAAGGACAGACAGACATGCAAACTCACTAAAATAGAGAGAGAGATACACACATGTAGAAAAACAGCCCACAGCAGTGCCCAAGGCGCTCTGAGAGAACTCAAGTTTTGGTTCCTTTTCTCATAAGGCCAGTCAAGGTGACATGCTTTCTGCCACGTTTCTCCTCATGTTTTCCTGTAACCAGGGGGAACATGATAACACACAGCCGCTGATTCACCATTGATTAGCCAATATTTCAGGCTGCTTCGCAGGCACGTCGGTCGCATACCAGACAGCTGTGATGACAGAACAAAGCGTGGGGAGGAAGCTGGCGATAGGGTGGAGGCTAATCACCTGGCCTCAGCCAGTCCCTTCCAAAAGGAATCCGAGGAGGCTGCTTCAGTTTCGTTCTAAGTTTGTCCAAGGTAACACAGACCACGCCCTGGGGGCAGTTAAACACAGCGAGGAGTCCTGGGGGGCCTTCCAGATTTTGGGGAGGCATAAACCCACTTTGTCAGACACAGCTCCCCTGGCACAGACCCGTTTGCAAGAGTTGTGGTGCCATTATCTCGGGAATGTTTGGTTTGATAAACGAATCGAGATGCCATCTCTAGTGAATGCCCCTGAAGGAGCGTGGAGGAGGGGGAGAAGGAACTAAAACTCACCAAACTGAGGTGGTGTTGTGACCCTATGTGCCAGGCACTCAAATTTGACCCGGCGGCCCCTCCACCATCCCAGCTGGGAAGGAACACCACTCTCCTCACCTGACTCCCCTCCCCCACCTCTCCTGAGTTCAGAGCCTCAGACGTGCATTTAAATAGTGGGGAGGCAAAGGCTCTTTGACCTCCCCCATCTCGGGCACCCCCGTGCTGAAGCAAGTCCGAGATCGTACGCCAGTCCCGTGCCACGGCCCCGGCTGCCGAGAGCAGAATGGGCCCTGGAGACTGACCCGCCATCTTGTTCCGGAACACGGCACAGCTGAGGGGTTGCACTGGCAATGCACGGCGCTTAGCTGCCTGTGGACGCGCACAGTTCTCCAGGGCCCTCCCCGTGCTCTAGTCATGTGGCCTAACACAGATGGGGCCTAGTACTCCATCCGTCCGACTGCAGCAGCGCAGAGCAGGGCTCCGGGGCTCCACAGAGCGGGTACGGCCTTCTCTCGCTTTCCCTGCTCCCTTCCCACCTGGCTGATCCCTTCCTACGGAAACCCGCCCAAACCCACGGGCGTCAGGTAACGTGCCACTGAAGCCACCACGTGGCGGCTCTGCTGGGGTGCTCAGCCCCTTCCCCCTGCTTTGCGTCTGCCCATTTGGACAAGATTGCCTCACTGTTGCCTTGCACACCCGTTTCTCAGGGCCCCTGTGTCCTCTCTTGTCTGATACCGACACCGTCAGCTCTGTGGGCCAAGCTCAGCTGCTTGCTCTGTGTTTGTACAGCACCGAGCGCAGCGGGGCTGCCGGGGGTGATTTTCCAAACAGAAGGGGAGGGGTTGCTCCGTCATGAAGCACTTGGAGACACCCTCACGGACAGGGGTGAGCCGTGAACTAAGCATGTGGCAACACGTCTGTGGCCACGTCAGTATTTTGGGGCTGTTGACCATGGTCAATCAGAACTTCCAGACAGCTGTGGGGACAGTCGTCTGGTTCCCACGTGGTATGCATGGGCCCCGTTAGATGCAGTAAGTCCAAGGCCACTGCAGCCCTGTGTTCTAGTCTGATCTCCCGCATAGCACAGACCATAGAAACCCCCCAATAATCCCTGTTTTAGCTTGGACAGATCTTTCAGAAAAACATCCAGTCTTGAGCTACAAATTGCCTGAGCGGGCGAATCCCCCACGACTTTCGGTAAGTCGTTCCACTGGTTTGCTCCCCTGGCTCTGGAGGAACAATTCCAGTTTCACCAGAGAAAGCGCGGCGGAGACACAATAGCCAGCTCTTTATGATGCCTGTTTGCCTGGACAATGCCCCGGTTTTGGGAAGAGGCGCTTGCTTTCGGCAGAGACGTCCACCCGCCCCGCGATACTTATCAGCCCTCTGTGACAAGGGCAGAGCAGACTGTGGAGATAAATGCCGGCTCAGCAGCCCACCCCCACTCTGCATTTGGCACAGCCTGGCTCTGTTTGCTTTCCCTGACCACACCTTGGCCCCGGGCTGTGGCAGCCGGTTTTGGCTACCTTAGAAGTGATACCGTCTTCTAAAGGTCATTTATATACAAAGCCTTCCCGGTCATGTCTTGTGGCATTCCACATGCTACCTGTCTCCACCCTCCTGCCTCTGTTCTTAAGGCCGTTAAGGGTCCCTCCTCGTGCTACATTGCCTGACCTTGGAAGTGAGGATTATGCACACGCCGTTTCCTGAACGGCTCAGAGACCGTGTTACGAAAGGGGCCCCTACGCTGCTTTGCTGTTCACACTGGCAGCTTTGAGTGTACAGCCCCCCGCCCCGTCCCGGGCACACACGCCAGCTGGGGCATTCGGGTGGCACGGGCTGCATTCCAGGTTGGACAGCAGAAACCGCAGCACAGAGATGGAGTCGAGGGCCCATGTGTGTGGGGAAAAGAACCTCCCAAGCCAGGGCACGTACAGCCCATGGCAGGTGTAACTTCTAACTGGCGCACTGGGGAGATTACCCCACAGCGATCTGGAGGGCAGCCATTGCGATGAGATTACCCCAGGGTGAGCTAGGAAAGCCGTTCTGATGAGATTACCCTGGGGTGAGCTGGAGGGAGCCGTTGGGATGAGATTACCCCCGGGTGAGGTGGAGGGAGCCGTTGGGATGAGATTACCCTGGGGTGAGCTGGAGGGAGCCGTTGGGATGAGATTACCCCGGGTGAGCTGGAGGGAGCCGTTGGGATGAGATTACCCCGGGTGAGCTGGAGGGAGCCGTTGGGATGAGATTACCCCGGGCGAGCTGGAGGGAGCCGTTGGGATGAGATTACCCCGGGCGAGGTGGAGGGAGCCGTTGGGATGAGATTACCCCGGGCGAGGTGGAGGGAGCCGTTGGGATGAGATTACCCCGGGCGAGGTGGAGGGAGCCGTTGGGATGAGGTTACCCCGGGGGG